ACAAGGGAGAAGATGTCATTTTTCAGAGCAGTGAAGCATAGAGTAGGAGGAGTTGGACCATGGAACAGATAAGGTATAAAAAAGCCAAATCATGAGGAATTTTATGTACCATGAAAAGAAAATTATTTATTCTAAGGCCGGATGTTAAAAATATTTCATAACCAGTACATCACCAGCGCTGACCTAAGAGAACATTTTTGTGCCATAGCATTGGAGCTGGGTCCAGGAGAATGCTGCTGTACCAGGCTTAGCCTTGTTTGTGGCCAGATTGTGGAAATGTCCATGCAGGTCCTGAAGGCAAGGGCCAGGTGGTTCTGCAGTGGAGCAAGGGGCACTTGAAAGGGTAAGAGCAGGTTCAATTTGCCAACCAGCATTTTTAACTACCGGTGCATACTAGCTAAATAAGAACTCTGTTCTTTTTACCATTATGTCATTTATTATTTATATCAATGGGATGGTATGCATTATTCCATTCTTTATTCTGTGCATTATCATGGTTTAAATCAGGGAGAAACATTTACATATTTTAAGCATGATAAGAGAACAATAATTTATGCATCATTACTCTGGCATTGATTGGGAAGAAGGAATGAGAGAAAGAAAAAAATGGAGAGAATAGGAGCAGATACAAGGCCAGATCTATAATCTGAAAGATAAATGATGAGAACTTGGTCTAGAACAGTGGTGCTGAAAGTGTGAAAGATGAGATGGAGTTAGAAATAACTTGGAGGAGTGATCTGCAGTTTTAATTGTATATGAGTAGGGATAATATGGAACCGACATCTATGATACGTTCCAAAACTTTTACTCTGTCCTAGATTTCATATTCAAAACATGTGTCCTAGTATTCAGCTCTTATGAGAATAACAGTATTTCTTGGTTTGTCTGGGAAGTCCCTGATACACATAGGTTATCCTTAGCAATACTTTTTTAATAATGTCCTCTTTCACTTTCAAAGTATCAAAAATTAGATGGTCTTTCCAGCCAACTTTAGAAAATTTTTCAAGTGACTCCACACACGCATATGGCTTTTAAAAGAATTCTCAAAATGAAAGAATCACTTGGGAGGCTTATTGAAAATGCTGAAATCTGAGCTCCATTTCCAGAGATTCTGACTCGGTATATTTAAGAAATAAAACAAAACAACAAAAAACAATACAAAACTATGTACTTAAAAAAAAATGAAGCACCCTTGCTGATTTTGAGTATATCATTAGGAGAAACTATATTAATATACCCAGATAAATTGTATACCATCTCTTTTCCTTCTCTTTACAAAAAAGAATAAAATATACATACAAAAAGTACTCGCTAAATCATATATTGCTTTTATTGCTTGTATGTGTGTATGTGTTGAGAAAAATAAACCTAGAGTTGAGCAAATACTCTGGAGTGTCCCTATGAAAATGGCTATGACTTGGTTATCTATATAATTCCACACAGAAAACCTCAAGGATATTGCAGTCACTCTCTTCTTACAGCCTGGAAAGATAAAGAGTGGGCAATAGAAACAGGGACATGATGGAAACGTGGCAATTTTAGGAGACGAAAAGATTTAAGGGACAGTGTATAAATTGCAGGCAATTCCACATGTATGTCCTTTATAGCTGACTTGAAAAAATTGGCTAGAAAAAGAAGTTCCTCTTGGGAAATTATTGAAAATTATTTTCATGTAATTATTCTTATAGAAATCTCCATGGTTATAATTGTTCATTGTTCTGCATCAATAAGCACTGTGTGCCATGACTAAGTGGACTGGGGCATTGGGAAGAACAGGGAAAAGAGGAACATAGAGTGTCCTTGATAGATTATGGATGAGGCTCTAAGGTTATTGAGGCAGCCTCAGAGGTTTTTTTTTTTTTTAAAGTTTAAATTTTATTTTGTTATTAGTTTCAAGTATATAGTACAATGGTTAGACATTTATGTAGTTTATGAAACGATCCCCCTGATTGCTCTTTCTCTCCTCTGGCTCTCCTCTCCTCTCACTTATCCATTATATTAATGCTAACTACATTCCCTATGTTGTGCTCCCCATCCCTGTGACCAACTTATCAACCACTAATTTGTACTTCTTTACCCTTCTCCTCTTTCTCCCAGCTCCCCAAACTTTCTCCCAGCCCCCCCAACCTTTCTCCTCTCTGACCATCACCAGATTGTCCTCTGTATTTGTGAATCTGTTTTTAATTAGTTTGGGTTTTTGTTCCTTAGATTCCACACATAAGCGAAATCATATGGTATTTATCTTTCTCTGTCTAACTTATTTCACTCAGCATAATAACCTCTAAGTCCATCCATGTCATTGCAAATGGTAGGATTTCATTTTTTTAATGGCTGAGTAATATTCCATTGTATATGAAC